CCTGTTGAAACTTTTATGTGCGGTGTGTGGTGTTATGTTTTTTTTTTTTTTTTTTGCTCAACCAAAATTGCTGCGGGGCCCCGTCAAAATTGTTCGAATTGGGCCCCACACTTCCTAAAGCTGGCCCTGCCAGCCCAAGCACATCCCAGGTTGATCTTAAGAAAAGGACTAAGTGCAGCTGGGGCTAATAAATGAGAGGAAAACAGCTGTAACTGATGAGGTCTGTGGGGAAGGCTAGGAGACCAATGAGGGGGCCTGCCTTCCTGAGTCAGAGTATCAGGGCTTTGAGGTTGAAGAGGGCTGAAGGTTAAGAGACTAGGAGTAGACTGCTGAAGGTAAGGTAAAGATTTATAAAGTATTTATTAATAACTTGGGTGCCACATCCAAAGAAGCCACATGAACTCAGTACTGCTGCACAACACAAACTTCATTCTGCTCATGGGAGGAAACCCTTAGGCTATGTCTACACTGTTGGTTTCTTGTGCAAGAACATCTTGTGCAAGGGTTCTTGTGCAAGAACACATCCACAAGAAAACGTCCACACTGCCATGTGCATGCTGTGCTTTTGCGCAAGAGCTCCCATGGCTGTGTCGATGCTCTCTTGTGCCAGCGAGCATCCACACTGCCCTCTTGCGCAAGAGAGCTTACACCTGTTAGAAAGGAGCGTAACTCTTGTGCAAGAAGCCCTCTCTTACCACGCCGTACTGTAAATTTCCTTGTGCAAGAGCAGGCGGGCAGTGTGGACGCTCTGCAGATTCTTGCGCAAGAACGACTGTACTTGCGCAAGAAACCATGAGTGTAGACATAGCCTTTGAGGAAACACTTCCCCCAGTCTCTCTGCCCCCGAGTTAATGTCACACACATTGGGTTAATGCAATTGCAGGATGGTTGCATGAGGGGGGTTTGGTGGGGGCCAAACTAATTCCTGTTAATAGGAGGATGGTGGGAAAAGTCCTTCAAGAGGGGTGACATGACACCTTTTACTTCTGGTCATGTGTCCATCTTGCCCCGAGCATGTTAACTCCAGTGGCATGGTTAATGGGGGTCAGGGGACATGGTTAATGGGGGCTAGGGGGTGTGGCTAATGGGACACCACCAAAAATTATACAAACCTGCTGCCCCTGCCTGGAAGTGTGCCGGGTGCATGGTGGAAGGGGGTGTCGGCCCTGGAAGAGAAGTACGGCGGTTATGTGTGCCGCAGGAGGAGTGAGTTGAGCTGTGGGACAGGTGTTAGTTACCTCCTGGGCTTTGCGGGGCAGGTAGCTGTATGTTTCTGGGCCCCCTGTTGAAACTTTTATGTGCGGTGTGTGGTGTTATTTTTTTTTTTTTGCTCAACCAAAATTGCTGCGGGGCCCTGTCGAAATTGTTCAAATTGGGCCCCGCACTTCCTAAAGCCGGCCCTGGCTATAATGCAGTCTCCATTGGTTCGATACATACTTATAACTGGTTAAATCAATCCACGGTTTATGTGTTTCACAGAATTCTTTGCTGACAAAAAGCAGCACCAGTGAAGAACACTATCACTACTATCTCTAATTGAATAACAGGCTTCATGACAAATGATGACCAGACTTCAGTAATACACACCTTCAACACCTCTTCACTGGACCACACCAATGCAACAGCTTTTAGGAAACTCCAACACAGTAGCACACCTCCTTCTCACCATGAACTACAAGGAGAAAAATAACCCTGCCTTTGCTCCTTTATACTGGCTTCCCATAGGATATCAATTCAAATTCAAGATCTCCATCCTTATCTTTAAGGTACTCAATGGTCTGGAGTCAGAACTCCTAAAAGACCTCCGGAGATAAGACTGCATATAACAACTCCACTTCTAAGGCACACTTGAGCTGAACACCTTAATGGTAATAATACATATATAATGAGATGGTGCCTTAGTTGGGATTGGTCCTGCCTAGGGCAGGGGGCTGGACTTGATAACCTCCTGAGGTCTCTTCCAGCTCTATTATTCTATGCTTTTATTGGGAGTGGACCCAAAGGTGTGGAATGAACTTCCATAGGACATCAACTCACAAAGCTGTACTAAGTACAATGTGTGGGTTTTGACCTATATAGCACTGAAGTCATAAAATAGATAGTAATACATATTTTAAACAAGCCTACAAATTTTTTTCTGTGCTTTGAAAAGAGACAGGCATAAGAAAAGTTAGTGATGTCACTCAATGTACTTTGGCTGTGTCTAGACTGGCAAGTTTTTCCGCAAAAGCAGCTGCTTT